ACATATTTTGCTTCCTATGAACATGGTCTGATAATAGCAGTGAAAATAATCGTCAACGCAACAGACAATTGTTTGTCAACTTATTTCCAAAAACCAATCAGACTGCGATAGTGATTGTCAACACAGGGCATGCCCTGACTGCTTTCAACTGAAAAAAAAACAGAGAATGGTGAAATTTGAATATTAGGTACCGTTTCTGTTCAGCTTTGTATTGTTTTGTGTTTAATCTATAGCAAGTAGTCGATAGGAACAAGCACAAATTTACACTTATGTTGCTTGAAGTAACTGAATACGAGGCTAATACAATTGCTAAACGAAAAAAAACTTTCAACAAAACCTCCAGAAACTCCTCTTTTTACAAAAGCTTTTGCCATCTGATACGGACCGAAAATATTCTATCCATTGCCACCTGTTTAGGCGCGTAGTAATGTCAATGTGTCATCGGAGAAGTTATAATGGATCTACGAGCTTAAAAGCTAAGTTATAAAGCCATAGTGTGAAAAAAAAAGCATTGAATCTAACCGTTTAGTGTCTCAATCCGCGCTCAGTGAGACTGGCATTTCGTAATTTTACCCTCTCTCGATTGTATTACATCTCAGCTATGTAGAGCCCCGAGTGAAGCAGTCTGAATAAGAGATATTAATTCGCTAGGGCAAATTTGCGGTTGTCGATATTGTCATCGCCGGATTATCTTCGATGCCTTGATATAAGGGAAACTCCTTTCACCTGGACGGAGCTCCTCAAAAAAATGCCATTGCTTGGACTATTGATCGTTCTTGGTAAGTACTTGTATCAAACCAATTCGGTGTAGCGTAGCTCGTGGCAGTTTTAGTAACTTCCTGTTACGTTTTCTCTCTGATATTATTACAGAAAGCTTTCACAATTTCTTGATGCTTGTATTGACGCATTTAATAGACGTGAAACAAGGAAATGACAATCATGCATCAGGCGAAAGACAAACACAGTGAACAAATAAGGTGAGTATGTCAGCGGCGCCTGTAGAATATAAATCACGGTGAGCCATTCGCCTTTTTCTTTGCTTCCTTTTACAAGTAATACCTACTTACGAAAATGAAAGCAACCTATCTTCTTCTTCTTTATTTTTTTCCATGATTTTGTAGGCTTGGTGTCAGGGCATGCATGGTGATGATTCCTTTGCTGGGGATCACGTGGCTATTTGGTCTTCTGTTGTCCTTGCACAAAGCGTTCGCCTACATTTTCACACTTCTCAACTCCACTCAGGTAAACTAAACACAAATTTTATAAAATGAATTCCGTCCAATATGAGTTAGCTAACTGGGTTACTTCTGTTTTGATAAATCTCACCAAAGTTGAAGTCAGTAATCAGAGTTTATCTCTACTCATATGAGATACACCCTACTCTTGTGAGAGCAAAAGTTCACCACTGTTTATTATGAATTGTCAGCTCTCTCTGATACTCGACTGCCTTTTTAAGCGAACGTTCTATCCCATTACCACATGCTTGGAAAACAGACCCCCTGCGGCTATTAAGCTTTCAACAGTTATAGCGTTCTTAAGTAAATAACGTTAACGAGAAAAAAATAAAAATAAATAAAAAACAGACAATCAGGATTCTAATGTTGCCATTAGAATCCTGATTTTAATTTTCCGGAATTAAAAATAAAAAATAAAACCATAAAACCAATCTGACGATCTTGAATCTGCAATGATGATGGTTTTCTTCATCTTATAAAATTTATCTTATATTATTGATCTTATAATATAAGTAGTGTCACTGTCACGCATATTGTCGCGCCTAGTAGTTTACCAGGTGCTAAACTTAGTGTAAAGCAACTTGCAAAAATAGAGAACTTGTGATTAATACCAGTAATTTGGAAATTTTTCTGGCCATGAAATTGCATATTGACGGAACTGGGCGTAGATGAAAGCTCTCTGAGTCTGCACAGGCAATAAATAAAGTTATACTGCAGGCCTTAACTTGATATCCCACTTTATGATTTAACAGGGCTTCTTAATATTTCTCCTTCACTGCGTAAGAAACTCAGAGGTATGTTATTCAATGTTGTTCTTAGCTCTCTTTGTACCTTTGTTCAGATCTCCTTCTAGCTAGGCTTCGAATTTGAAATAAGAAATTCAATTCCATGGTTATATCGATCCAATTCAAAGCACGATCAATTTTAAAACTCTTGTAATCGTCTTGATTTCACTTTATCCTTGCAGATTAGATCTCGCTTCAAAAGAAGGATCACTGGCGTCCGGCCCCAACTATAGATGAAGGAACGAGCATTAAGCGAGCCTCGCAAGTGAATGAAACTGATGGGAACATCATTTTTCCGAAAAATATTCATGTCCAGCCTTGCAATAACAATGAAAGTGGTGTTGAAGTCCCTGAGATCTGAATGGGCATCGTAGTCTTTTTCCACAGTCTAGATCTGTGTATATCTTAAATTAAGTTCGTTTAGAAAGTTTGGAACGACTCAGAAGAGCTGGATAAGAACCCACTATTATTATTATTATTATTATTATAACCTTCTGAAGCTGAGGCTCGGATAGCTTTGCATTTGATCCAAATTATAATAATATAACAGTTCAAGTAATCATCATGAGAAGTATTCTTTTTTCTCGAAAATGAGTACCGGATATAACCAAGGTCAGAGGGTCTAGAAATCCAAAACCACATCCAAGAGACAATTCCTGAGAGTAAGGGAACAACCTAGGGTATCTCAGAAGGAAAAAAAACATTTTTTTCACACTTATACTAGCTCGCCAATGAGTATCCATTAGAAATGGTTAGGATTTAATTACCGTTAAAGAAAATCTTCCTCAGATGTTTCATTTAGTCTATTGATTATTTTATTCATTGGTCCTTTATTCCTCCATTTATTTATCTACTTATCGTCGTTATTCCTTCATAAGAAACTATAAGTCACTTTGGGTACGATGAATATATGAAGTTCATATATTTTGAACTGCGGTTATAGATACGAATGATGCACGATCCTCGTAGTAGAGAGCGCTATTTATGCAATAGCGAAAATCAGACCTGAAAAATATCAGGCCTGTACGGAATTCGAACCACTGACCTCTGCGATACTAGTGCAGCGCTCTACCAACTGTGCTAACAAGCCAACTAAGAGCAGGCCGTTAAGGTGATTCGTAATAAACCCGTGATGATAAATCAGGCACTTTGATTATATCTCCATTTCTAGAAAAGAGAATGAACTTTGTACGAAGATGTTAGGCTTCCTCTCACTCCTCCCTGTCTAATGAAAAACATCTAATAGTCTATGAAAACTAATTTTTTTAAGGTGTATGTAATTATATTCAGGCATCATGACATAATTTGTTTCTACTAATTTTGAACTGCGACAAAGTGATTTCGATTCCTGATATTACCACATAAAATTAAATGTGCCGCAGTAACGTAGCTTGGCCAGGAATGTACCAAACACATGACCTCTTGCGTGACAGTCATTCAACGGATCGCATCACATTTTATGTCATTTAGCCCCGAACTCTTTTCAAGCTTGACGCGCTGCCTATGGCGGGCCAAGAAAGAAACTTTCAGAAATTAAACTACAAAGATGAACCTTTAAAATAATGTATATTTTGATTTGTAAATATATCATACCAGATATTTTTCAAGGCCTTTAAATGGTTCGTGAGAGCTATTCAGCGGAGGAGTTCAAATGTAAGAATAAATCTTCAGGTGGTGTATATTAATGATCTGGAAATTATATATGGCAGACCTCTTCATGGGCCACTGAAGTTGACCTCTATTTTATCCCTGCGAAAAAGACGCGAGGTACTCTATTTCAACGGGTCCCTATTCAGACTTAAGCGTAACAACCAGAAATTTATATTTTCCAAGAGATAAAAGGACCATCTTCCAGCAAATAGAGTTTAAAATCGGGATTGCATCCCGTTGTAGCGTACGAAATTGCCGAAGTCGCTTAATCTTTCATTGCTTTACGGTGGGCGGAAAAAGTCTATCTAGGCGTATTTTGAACTATTCGATATCTCGGACAAAAAGAAAAGCGTGATAGAGCTTTTTGTTATAATTTTCGAAAAAGGTTCATTAAAAGGGTCCTTCAGAAAAAGTGAAATGAATTACGAAACTCTGCAACTGTCGGCGGATTCTCAATACTTATGGTCGACGGCTCTTAAGATTTCTTTCATTGGACTTCAGGCCGGGAAGGTCTTGTTCCAGAATTTATCGGTGCATTGTTTTGTGTTTTAAGGTGAGACATTTTGCGTTTGCAGTGCTTCTCTCCCTCTTCACTAAGGTGTAGAAATGTGTACAGATTAATTGTCAGAGAAACTTGATGGAATGACAAGAAGGGGGAGGGGTTTAGCTTTTAGTGTCTTTTTACTTTTGCCGCGCGAACCACCGAGCTCAAGTGAACACTTTGCTTTAACTCCATATCATTTTTTTTAATCACATTATAATTTGTTTTTCCAGTTGAACGCATTTCTATCGGGGTGAGTTATTAAAGAAATGACAACCATGAATCATGCGAAAGACTAAAACATTGAAAAGATAAGTTTGGTAATTCAGCCATCAGAGAACTCACATTTATGTTCGTCGTTATTTAGATGTTTTGAACCTCTCGCACAAAGCGAGGTTTACAACATCATCATGGGAATGGCCAGGAAATCATGCACTCTCGATCCAATTCCGACACCTTTACTTGTTAAATCTATCGATGTTCTTTTACCAGTTATAATAGCTAAAATAATCAATCTTTCACTTCAAAGCGGTTATTTTCCTCCAGTATGGAAAGAAGCTCTTGTTCTGCCAATTTCGAAAAAAGCAAATCTTGATCTTTTTTATAAGAATTACCGGCCAGTCAGTAATCTTTCGTTCATTTCAAAAGTAACCGAACGAGCTGTGTTTCTACAAGTTGATAGTTATATGAAGAGGAACGATCTTCATCCGTCTCTACAATCTGCCTATAAGAGGAACCACAGCACGGAAACAGCTCGTCTAAAAGTGACAAATCATATTCTACTTGACATGAATTCTCAGCAAACAGTCCTTCTCGTGTTATTAGACTTAAGTGCCGCTTTCGACACGGTTGATTACAATGTACTTGTACGTAGGCTTCA